TGTTTATTTATTTTTTAAAAAGAGACTGTGTAGCAATTATCAATGTTTTATTATCCCCCGCCGAAAATTTTCGGCGGAGGATATAGTAATAGTCTCCGTCCGTCCGTCCGACCTTCCGTCCTTCCGTCCGTCCGTCCTTCCGTCCGAAATTTTTGTCCGGAGCATATCTCTAAAAGTATTTGAGTTATCAACTTGAAACTTCATAGGTGGATAGACCTCATCGAGGAGGAGTGCAGTGCACAAGAATGATAACTCTACCTTGCATGATTTTTGAGTTATTGCCCTTTGTTATTTTTCAAAATTGATTTTTGTCCAGAGCATAACTCCAAAAGCCTATGAGATATTAACATGAAACTTCATAGGTGCATAGATCTCACTCAGGAGGTGTGCAGTGCACAAGAATGATAACTCTTCCTTTCATAATTTTTGAGTTATTGCCCTTTGTTATTTTTCATACCTATTTTTTCACCTGAGTGGAGCATAACTCAAAAAGTGTTTGAGATATCAACATGAAATGTCATAGAAGGATAGATCTTATTGAGGAGAAATGTTGTGCGCAAAAATGATAACTCTTCCCTATACAATTTTTGAGTTACTGCCCTTTGTTGTTTTTTTCATGCTATTTTGTCCAGAGCTTATTTGAAAAAGTATTTGAGGTATCATCTTGAAACTTCATAGGTGGATGGATCTCATTGAGGAGGAATGCAGTGATAAAGAATGATAACTCTGCCCTGCATTATTTTTGAGTTATTGCCCTTTGTTATTTTTCAAAATTAATTTTTGTCCAGAGCATAACTCAAAAAGCCTTTGAGATATCAAAATGAAACTTCACAGGTGCATAGATCTCACTCAGGAGGTGTGCACTGCACAAGAATGATAACTGTACCTTTTATAATTTTTGAGTAATTGCCCTTTGTTATTTTTCATACTTAATTTTTCAATTCAATTTTTTTCTCAAAAAGTATTTGAGGTATCAACTTAAAACTTCATAGGTGGATAGATTTTACTGAGAAGGGATGCAGCACACAAGGATGATAACCTACCCTGCATTATTTTTCAGTTATTGCCCTTTGTTATTTTCAGCCATCAGTATTCACATAGGTTTCAAATCTGTAATCACTATAGCCATCAGTTTTCATTACCAAAAGACCTCTTAAAATGGAATTATTCTGCTCTACTACATATACACTCTTCCAATGAGCAAACACATTCGGCGGGGGATGGCCATGTTGACATGGCTCTTGTTATATTTAATATGGATTCTTTAATGTGAGAAAGCAATCCAGCTAGCTTAAAAAAAGTCGGTGGTTCTACTCAGATGCTCGTTTGTGAAATAATGCACAGAGGGGTTGAGCTCTGGCATTGGTCACGCATTTTTCGGTTATATACTTTTATAAATCAGAGTAATTCTAACAGAAAAATGTTGAAGAAAGGTTAACTTACAACTATGGAATATCTTGGTCAGCAATAAACTTTTTTAAAACTATTTTTCAGAAAACAGAGATGCTTGTTCGACAGATACAGTCATAGTAGCAGTTATGAGGGAAGATAGATTGCAGTGTTAACTATATTGAGACAAGAACATGAGATGACTTATCAATGTTTTCAATGTGATTGAACATTTTTTTATTTAGATGTTAGTTGATCTTGTCAAGTCTTTGATTTTTTTAGGGATGGAAACAAATACTAAAATCAATACTCGAGTACTCAGTCATTTTTCCGATCGAGTATTTGGTTCCTCGGATGATTTCCAATGATCTTTAAAGTTTTATCACACAGTATCAACACCGTCTGCATGCTACTTTCATTTTCTATTTTAATTCATAGAATTTGTAGCTATAAGTAGGATTGCAAGAAATACATATAATAAATATAAACATAAGAAATCTTAATGTCAATGACAGCATTTATTATATACCTATAAATTTTCTTCCTGATACACACACAAAGCAAATAGGCTTCAAGGGTTAGAAAATTCTGTATCATGTTAGTGGCAAATACAGTACCATATATGAAAGTGCTGGACTATTTTTGACGTTGGTTCTGATCTTAGTTGTTTATAACGTAGAATTTGGAAACGGCAACCAAAATAATAAAAGGTGTGGCCAGTTTTGCACAAATTACATATTATTCTGTCAGTCATTAATTTATTTCTTGACAGCTACATTTCATTTCCTGAAATTTCTTATATAAGTGTAGTATAATGAAAATCATTTATACATCAAACGAAAAGGTATATATAATAAAAGGAAAATTATGTTGTAGTAGCTTTCTGAGGCTGCTCGTGGCAAAATACAAAGCCTTCGAAAGCTACTACACATAATATTCTGTATATATATTTTTTTATAATTAACAAGTTTCGGCTATCCTTGAATTTTTTTTTTATTTTATCAAGTTTGAATTTTTTTTAAATATATTAATATGAATGCATGCAGCTTTGAAATAGTTGTTACCTATGTATATTTGAAAGCAATTTCACATGTAGCTCTTTGAAAAAAAAATCACTTGAGCAAAAAAAGTGTATAAGCATATAGTGATACCCCGTTCTGTCATCATCAGTTTCTGGGTTTTTTTGCATGGTTTTATTTAGGAAATATTTTGTTCCAGTTATTTACAGATGATTGTATGATCATTGGAATAAATACAGTTAAAGTACACTGATTTTCGTGTTATACACTACAATCCATTGTCGTATCTTGAAATGTTTTCCATGATATATACATATATATTTATATATGGAATAACTATATGGTCTCAACCATGACTTGTGGTTTTTAGCTCGACTATTTGAAAAATATGAAAGCTATTGCAGTCAACCGGCGTCCGCGTCTGCGTTGGTTAAAGTTTTTTGTAAAGTCAAATATTGCTTGAGATATTCAATTGAAACTTAAAATAGTTATTATAATAGTAACAATGTACATCAGATTGACAATTTAGATAACTCTGCCTACAATATTAAAACTTCACATGCATTTAGGGTCATAATTGTACATGTAGGTTACTGACCAAGATCCATAATTTTATCTAGCATTTAGGCTGATTTTTCTCCCCTTTTTCAACTTAGAAATTAATGGTAAAGTTTTGCTTGTAAACATGTTATCTCCATAACTACTGAAGGGTTTGTGCCTTTTTGGGACAAGTTTATGCATTCATGATAATAAAGCAGTGATTTACTTGATAAAGCATCATAATAACAAGTCTGTACCTTTTCGGTCCATTTTATGTATTCATAGGTAAGCATTATTATACTCCCCTTGTGACAACTTTTTCGAATAGTCGAGCCTTACTGTCCTCAGACAGTTCTTGTGTTAGTATAATAATAACTGAACAAAAGTTTGAAGGAGTTATATTTCACAAGGTATGCAAACAATAGCTGTTGGTAGGACAGCACACTCAACTATATGCTTAGTGCTTGACAATAGAAGAACCATAGATATTTAAAATATTCTAAGTTTACAAAAGGACCAAACAAATTTTAAACCCATTCTACAGATATAAGCATTGGAGAGAGTCCTAGCTAGTATGCTCGCAAAGAAATGTATAAAATTTCAATTTATTTCAAAGCCAGATGTCTATGGAATACAAAAATATCTTGAAGTCATAGGCAATCTTTAACATATGGGTGCCTGATCGGGATCAAGTGTGCAAAGTTTCAATGCCATATGTCAATGGACTTTGGAAATATTTGAGGTGATAGACGCCGACGTTCAGATGGCTAGGATAATTCTACTTATTCTTATCGAATAATCGAGTAAAAATGTGACTTCTGTTTTGAAAGTTGGAATGGCATCTGCTTGTAACAATAAACCACTATACAATCAAGAACTGTAGGATACATAATGCGCCCCCAGCAGTGCTTTCAGCGCTTTGATTAAAAAATATTCGTTATAAAACAACAACAAAAAACAACAACAGGTCAGGGTAACGCATTGTAACACGGCCAGCGATTGGCTGAAAAAAAGTGCAGGGAAAACCGTATGAGTCAATTTATACATGAGGTGATTGGATGAAAGTGGGGTATTTTTAAGTATAAAAACTAATTTAAAAAGTAACACTACATTGTTTTCTGAAGAAAATGAAATATTTCATGAGTCTCTGTGATAATTTTGACTTGGATATTTGCATTTATAAAAAGTGTATGTCAGTCCTGTGATCAGCAGAAAATTTCAATGAAATGGGGGGTAATCCTCTTTGAAGTCATTTTGCAAAAAATTTGGTCGGCTACCCCTATATAACAGGAACATTTTTATGTGTCAGGCATTTCATTCTGCTAGAAAAATTACCTCTTTAGCATGAAAACTCAATTTTAAGGTAGGATTAGGGACCATTTCTTATAATGTAAGTCTATGGAAATATCAATGTGAGTGTCTGACCAACATGGCGAGCACTGAAGAGTGGCACACGGAATCGCTCCGTTGTATGATCGCTGAACGAATGTATGTAAATTGTTATGTTTAACACTTTTCTTTTTTTATGTGCAAAATTTGTCTTTGTACCTTCAGTCCTAACAATTAACATTATTTGTGTTTTTATCCAAATATCATAGGATTTCGCGACACTTCAAAAATAGTGTCGGTGTGTGGTGAAATCGTAAATTTATAATAATTTTCCGATTTAAAGTAATACTGCAGTAACTCGAACTCTACAGGTTTCCTAGCAGTTTCCGGCCACAAACCACACTTGAACAAATAAGATAAAAATCAGTCTATTGAGGGGTATAAAACTTGGACAGGACAGAGTTAGGGTACCTTTCCAGCATTGCCATGTGTTTAATGTTGCACTTTCATTTTACTTTTTAATTTGCCTTACTGGTCAAAATAGACTGTACTGGATGAAAATGATAAACGGCCGGAAAACTGCTAGGGGACAGAAACTGCTAGGAAACCAGTTACTTTAAAACAAATTTGTTAACCGATAAAATGCTGCATACATGTACTAGTCAGCTTCAGTGATATTGGGTAACAGTTTATCAAATTGCATGCTTTCGTCCGAGTTGTTGATTTAAATTAAAAAAAAAAACAAACAAAAACTTGGTCCCTATTCAATGACTAAGTTTGAAAACATTCAAAGAAGAGCCATAAGAAAAAAATCCAGCTGGATAAAGCCTGGCAGTATAATTTAGCAGCTACAGGCTTGTACTTATTTGTTGAATGTGTGGTTCAGAAAATATTTTACCATACTTCCTAGTTATATTAATCATTTCATACAGCATTATAGGAAATTGGTAACGATGCAGGATGCCAATATGTTGCAAACATGGGAACAAAGTTATTTCAAGATTGCTTGCTTTGTTGTTTCCATCCCTTTCAGAAAGAAAATTATTGCTTTGTACTGGTTGTTTCCAGTAACAGATTCCAGAGTGTTTCTATAAGCTTATAGCTTCCAGCTCAAAGTAAAATATATTCATTATAAACTGAACTAAATGATATCATAATAATTAAATGATAATTAAATTAACAATACCTTAGATGCCTACTGGCATGCAAGCAGTTCCCGTACAGAAGCAGTACCCGTATTTTTTTGTTTAAACGCTTGATATTTACTCACATTCTTTAAAAAATAATATCAAGCAGATGTAAAAACATCATGTCAGTTTGGCAATATGTATAAAAAGTTTTCATTTTAAATCACGTTCAGACTTCACCTGTATGTTTGAAAAAACATGACCTTGTTAACTTTAGGGGATTCCATCCTTGCACTCATGCGCAAAAATACTTACATGTGTGGCCTGTTAAAAGGTTTTCCACTAATACCACCTGTATACAGATAAATAGGCAATGTGATGAAAACCTGTTTAATTAGCAGAATTTTTACCTATATTACAATATTTAATAATTTTATGGCTTTAATGAGTAAAATACATGTATCATGTATGGAAGCACGCCATTGGCTGTGAATGCCTTGGGGTACTGGTACCGGGTAATAGATCAAGCAATCAGTCTAGTATATTCTGAATTAGATCTACCTACCTCTGGGAAAATGGTCTCTTTAAGAATTATAAATGAAAAATAGGTCTAATATAACAAAATTGTATAATTATAATCAAATGGGTTATATTTTATATACGGAAACTCCTTCTCTTCATACAAAATAATGGATTATTTTGGTACCCCATATGAGGCCTCATAACTAAGGTTTATTTTATGTTTAGAACATAATGGAATTTCCATAATTTTTGTGATGAGCTGAATATTTTAACATTCAACCTCTTGGTGAGTGATCATAAAAAATTTTTGTTTTAAGTAACTAAGATTTTTGTACAGGAACTGCTCGCATGCAAGTATTCCAGTTTTTTTTTGTCACACTTAATTGATTTGAATATCTTATTGATAAATCAACTGGCATTTTGTTTTATCTCCAGAAATGATGCAAAACAGAGTTCATCAACTTCGAACGAACTGTCTTCAGAAGAACTAGAAAAAAAGTTGTTTGACCAAGCCAAGAGTAGGGTAATAAATAAATACATATATATTTTTTACTTTTTTTACAAGAATTATCTTCTTGGAACATTAAATTTTTGCTTGACTTTGAAGAATTTACCCTCAGTCAAAATGATGATTGGCTTTGTCCATATTAAATGATAGACAATTACGTTGATATATACAAGTAGGTAAGGGTTTAAGTATGTTACATATACCGGTAACTAGGGTTCAAATGGGAATGAATTTTTGAAATATGGTTTCTCAAATAAGGATAATTGCTGTGTTTAGATAGTCTTTGAAATATAATCATTTAAACCAGAACATTAATTTTGCAACTTCTTTCAGGATGAGTATTTAGTCCTTGTTTCCAAGTTGATTATACAGTTAAAAGGGGTCAAAGGTAATGATATATAAATTTACATTTTAGCCAGTTTTGAAAAAGTATTTCTGAGCTCATCAATTGGAGGTTTTGAGATCAAATGAATTTGATCATTGAATTTTAAACATATTTACTTAAAATATCACACATGTTTTCAACGACCTAAATAAATCGTAGATTTTTTACCCACAGGTACTTGAAACAAACTAATTTTAATGTTCTATATTGGCTAACAGTCTTATTACAATATATAGAACATTCTAACACTATCGGAATTTTTTCTATATAAACAAAGAAGGCCCGAAGCGTGCATTATTCTACAACAATGCACTCGCCGTTCTTATTATCTCCCTGTGTATTTTCACATTGACGGCGCCATTTTGTTTGAAAAATCTGATAAATAAAACAATTTTTTGTCGAATTTTGTTGTGAAAACTATCTAGAATGAAAGAAAATGGTCTAACTAAGAAAATGAATCCGAACACCAATATCTTTAATTCAGTCGTTAACGCTGTACAGACGTTTAAAGTGTTGTTTACGTGACGTCACAATGTAGCGCCAAACAGCACGTGCAAAACAATCAAATCAAGTACGCTATTTTAATGTCGCAAACGAGTCAAGTTTTACATATATTTCACTTTTAATAATTTGTATTTCGCTTGGAAAATTATAGACTGAAATAAAATAAACAAACAAAGTTTTATCAACGTTTTCAAAATTCGTTATTCTCAAAATGTTTCTACACACGGTAGATTTAACGACAGTTTTTTTTCAACCCACTGGAACGGCCTTTAAAGAACGTTTCTATTGGAAACTCTGAGGCGAAAACAAATTTAACCACCAAACATAAAGTCCAACTTTATAATTATAATTATATTTTTTCTTGACGTGTTAGAATGGAAATAGATATTAATTCTTCGTGCATTATTGTATAATAATGCACGTTTTTCGTTCAAATGCTTTGTAATTAATCACTCAGGCCTATCGGCCTTCGTGATTATATTACTACGCATTTGAACTCAAACCGTGCATTATTCTACAACAATGCACTCAGAATTGATATCTATTTCCTAATTAAAAATAATTTGTTTCAAGTACCTGTGGTTTTGTCAAGACCTATAAAAAAACAGTAATAGACCTATAGATATAACATTTATATTTTTTTCTCTCCCCACAAGCAGTGAGCATTACTGTAGGTGTTTAACTTTATTCAAAACTTAATCTGCAGAATTTCTTAAATGGACTTGTCTAACTTGCATTCTAGGAACCACTTGTCAGTGTTGGGAATATTAAAAGTTAGTCAGGCAACAATACAAGAGCCTACTTTGAAGTTATAGTCAGACTGCATTGATTTCAAAAAATGTTCTTTCCAATTTTAGCATGCAACATATCCTTTCCAAAATGAAAACACAAATAATTACATAATTCATATGAGCTGCGTCACGACAAAACCAACATAGTGCGTTTGCGACCAGCATAGATCTAGACCAGCCTGTGCATCCGCGCAGTCTGATCAGGGTCCATGCTGTTCGCTTACAAACCCTATAGCAAGTAGAGAAACTGATAGCGAACAGCATGGATCCTGATCAGACTGCGCCGATGCGCAGGCTGGTCTGGATCCATGCTGGTCGCAAACGCACTGTTGGTTTTGTCATGACGCGGCTCATATTATGTTTTTTTTATTGTAGATGAACAGCCTCCTAGTCTTGCCACTGAAGCTGTTTTGGTGAAAAGTGAATCTCTTCCAGATGACACCCCAACAATAAAAGGTGGTATTTATCATAAAATGGTTCAACCCTAACTGACTGTTACAAATTTAACTACATCAAACCTTAACATGTGAATTGTGCTTTAAGAAATGAGATGAGGGTAATTGTGATGTAGTTTTGATATTTGTTATATTTTTAATTTCATATGCATAGTAATCAAATTACAAGGATGGTAGTGTAGTATGTGTGAAGAGAGTTTGTGGCTCAACATTTGAGCTACTCTGGAATTGAAAGCTACTTCCTGGAACTAATCTGTGCTGTTGTCAAATGAGGAAACATGGTTGCGACCCAAGTTAGACTCAAACCCATGATCCCTGAGTAGAGAGGCAGACACCTTTACCACTTGGCAACCGTTTTCCCGAAAAGAGTGTTAACCCCAATTTAAGACAAAAATGGTATGATGAAGCTTTGAAAAAAAAAATTCTGCAAAAATATTTTAATTTATAAAAACTTATTATGTTGATTGTGATATATGTCTGTAAAATGATATTTAATTGTCAAATTCATTGAAATATTAAATCTTCTGAATAACACATAAAACCTTGTGGGCATTGAACTCCGTGTAGATTATGTGGGATAAGTTGTTTATGACAGACATAGAAATTAGTAAGAACTGGTTAGTTATGCATGAAAGCTGCTAACTGGCTAGGAGGATTGACGGCCAAGATACATGTTTGACCAAAAATGTGTTAATATCTGTTTGAAAATCTGAAATACGAACAAATGAGATTTGTATCAAAATTTATTTTGTAAATTTATTCAACAAAGCTTGCATATTGTTTGAGAGACTCTTCATGAGTTGAGAATCTTTCAGACTGTATTGTGAATAAAGGATGTTAAGACCTCAAAAAAATTGTCTAAGGAGCGAACATACAGTGCTGTCGTAGACCTGTTTCGATATAAGGTTTTATGTGTAGTTCTTCAAATCACATGATGATATTAATGGGTTTCTTTATCTTAAGGATATGATTTTAACAAGGGAGTTGACTACCACAAGCTTTTACAATCATATGCACGGTCAGGGTTTCAAGCTCAAAACTTCGGCAAGGCAGTGGAGGAAATCAACAAAATGGTAAATAACACAGTTTCTTGTGTAATAAAAGAATTTATTCTGAACTTATAATAATGGGATATTGAACTGGCATTGTTGTTGGGTCATTCGTGTCATATTATTTTTCTAATAAATTGTAAGTTTGGGCCTATATATAAGAGCGGCTATATAGATGTTAAGGTTGTTGACGTCAGACCACTTGCTCCACTACTTTGGTTTTGATTCCTGTCTGGTGGACTCTTTCATTTGAGGGAAGCTATTTTTGCTTGCAGACATTGTTATTTATTGTTACAAGCAAGTACTGAACAAATAAATCTACGGGATTGTTATATTCCTCCTTAATGTTTAATGGATTATTTATGAATTATTTTCAGATTGATTGTAAACTAAAATGTGTTGCCAAGGAAAACTTGAAGGATTTAAACCTGCATCCCACTGGTCGTCCACAGACTAACTGTACTATATTTCTTAGTTACACATCCAATCTCGTGTCAGCTGGTGTAAGGGAAGTCCTTAAATATCTGGTACAACATAATATGGTTAGTACTTAGATTTTCTGTGACAAAATATGTTTTTCTGTTTCATTACTTAAACTGAAAATGTATAACTTGGTCATTTGGTGACTCAAAATCATAAGCTATTTTATAGCTATTTCATAAACTGTAAGAGTATTTTTTGAGTTTTGGAGAAAAAGGGGTGAGCTATTATGATTGCTTTGTTGTCCTTTGTCATTGTTGGAAACTTTAATGTACCTCTTTTGCAAACAGTTTTTAGGGTATCAACAAGAAACTTGGAGCGCTTAATAATCATGATAAGATGAAGTATCAAGATAAGGGACTCAATACCGAAAGCAATATTTTAGGAGTTATGTCCCTTTTTGTCTTAGAGTTTTTGTCTGCCTGATTCGAAGGATGATTCTAAACTATCAATGCTGTCAACATGAAACTTTGAACAGGCAAGGAGTAGTTGTAAAATAAGGGACATTATCCTGAAAGCAATATTTTTTTGAGAGTTTTACCCCTTTTTTACTAAGAATATTTATGAAAATTTGTTTTTATCAGATGAGAGCCAAAAAAAACATTGCATACAGTGCTCTCTTTTTATCATTTATAATTATAATTATGTACCTTAACATTAAAAAAAATCTCAGTAATATCTAACAGTAGTGATCAAAATGATGTAAAAAAATATAAAAAAATCACTTTTGTGACATGTTCCTTATGCATATTTTTCCATGATTATTTTATGGATGTCTAGAGTGATTGTTATGCATAGTGTGACCATAAAAGTTGAAATTTTGCATTATGATCAAAATCATAAATGTATGAATAAATGTACAAAGTTCACATTACCAATGCAGAAGTAATTAAAAAAAATGTAGAACTTAATGCAATACAACCTGTGATGAGCAACACCCTTTGAGAGACAAAAATTTAGAATGTTGCCGAGTGGTTTTGCTCTAGAGAGGTTAAATTTAGTGTTAAGTCTTACTTTTGAAGATCTAATAATGTTATTGTAAGGAGGTTTATGAGGGGGCTTGTCTGCAGAGGTTGCACTTTAGATAATGTCAAGTTGGACGATCTATGTTATGGCTATGTTATGGCTATGTTATGGTTTGATAGTGTATTATATGTTGCAGGTGGACTGTATCGTTACCACAGCTGGAGGTATTGAGGAAGACTTTATAAAATGTATGGCCCCGACTTATGTGGGCGATTTTTCACTTAGGGGCAGAGAACTTAGGGATAAAGGTATAAATAGGATAGGCAATCTGCTAGTTCCGAATGACAATTACTGCAAGTTTGAAGACTGGTTGATGCCAATACTGGACAAAATGCTGGAAGAACAGAAGGAAAAGGTAAGATTTCTGTAACGAATACACAAAATAATGCTTTTGACTATCTACAGACAAAGATTTTTCCATGAATGGTTAAATTGACTACTGCCAGTGCTAAATATTTATAAGGGAGAGAGAAATACATAAATATTTTACCACTGCAGAAATTGCATTTAGTTAGCATGATGCATTTATACTATGTGAAAAAGAAATACAGCATGCCAATGGAAGGTGTGTGGTTTTATTATTTACTTAAGTGATCACTTATTTCAGCAAATTGTACTGCAAGCTATGTCTTGGTTTTTTTTATGCCACCGCAGCATCTGCGATGCGGTGGCATATAGCGATTCACCTGTGTGTGTGTGTGTTTGTGTGTGTGTTATATAGATTATATAGTGAACTTAAAAAATCTTCTTGTGAAAAACCACTAGTCCAATTTCAACCAAACTTGGCAGGATTGTTCCTTGGGTGAAGGGCTTTTAAAGTTGTTCAAAGAATTTCATTCCATGCAGAAATCTGGTTGCCATGGCAACCAAAAGGAATTATAAAAATAAATTTAAAAAATCTTCCTTGTAAAGATCCGAAAGGCCAAGAGCTTAGATATTTTGCATAAGGCATTGTCTGGTAGACCTCTAACAAGATTGTTCAAATTATAGCCATGGGGGTCATTGATTTCAATATATAAATATAGTAAAAATTTAAAAAATCTTATTGTTTGATGGTACAAGGCTTAGAGCTTTAATATTTGTTAAATAATATCATCTAAAGGTACTCTACCAAAGTTGTTCAAATTTTGCCTCTTGTGTCAAAATTAGCTCCGCCCCTGGGGGCCATAGGTTTATCTTATATGTATATAGTAAAAACTTAAAAAGTCATCGTCTCTAAATTTACAAAGGATAGAGTTAAGATATTTTGCATGAAACATTGTGTAGTGAACCTCTAGCAAGATTGTTCAAATCATAGCCCTGGGGTCAAAATTGGTTCCGCCCCGGGGGTCATTGATTTTCATTATGTACATATAGTGAAAAAAAAAAATTTTTGTCTGAAGGTACAAGGCATAGAGCTTTGATGTTTGATATATAATATCATCTATATGTCCTCTACAAAAGTTGTTCAAATGTCAAAAATTGCCCTCCCCGGGGCAGTGATTCTCATTATGTACACATAGTAAAAACAGAAAATAAAACAAATGTTTTCTGAATGGGAGAAAGCTATAGCTTAGATATTTGACTTGAAATGTTGTTTGGTGGACCTGTATCAAGATTGTTATTAAACCCTTGGGTCAAAATTATGCCTTGCCCAAGGGGACAGTGACCTACTTTCTTGTCCTTTGATGTACAGCAATGACATTTTCACCATGTGCACAGGTTTAGTTGTAAAATTGAACTTTGACCTAGATTTTGATGATGTGACCTACTTTCTTGTCCTTTGATGTACAGCTATGAAATTTGAACCATGCGGTGGCATAGCATTTTTCTCAAATGCAATCTTGTTTATTCACAGGTTTACTAGAAAATCTCCATATCATCATGAAATGTTTGTGTATTTTTATGACTAACTAATTGATGCCAAAGTTCTATTTATTGTATTTTTGTGACACCTTTGCCATTGAATTGTAAAATGTCCTCATATTCTTATCTGCATTAAGACTAACAGCATGACAACCTCTGTATTAACATCTGGTGCATATTATTCAAATCATTATATAATTTTTGAGTTAATATGCTATGTCAAAAATTAAGATTCGGTTTTTGTTTTGTCAGTTGTTAGAACAAGGTCAATATTAACTCTTTTCTATTTCAGAATGTCCTGTGGACTCCATCCAGAATGATAGATAGACTGGGCAAGGAGATTAACAACCCAGATTCTGTGTATTATTGGGCACATAAAAACAACATTCCAGTCTATTGTCCAGCTATCACAGATGGTTCACTAGGAGATATGATCTACTTTCATTCCTATAAAAACCCTGGACTGGTTCTAGATCTTGTACAAGGTAAGTCTTGACTGGTTTAAAAGTATGTCTTGCTAAATTTTTTATTTTTTTATGGAGAGGATAATGTTGCTGACTTCAAATCACTTAGGCATAACAATGCTAAGGTTCGAATCCTGTGAATACTTACATATGAAGAACCTTTGCTGCTAGTTTATTGGAGGTTGATGGTCTATACCTGTATATGCTTATGCCTTAATTATACCCCCAAAAACGAAGTTTGGGGGGGGTATATAGGAGTCACCCGGTGGTCGGTCGGTCGGTTGGTCGGTCGGGCGGTCGGTCGGTCGGTCCAGACGTCCGTTGCATTTTCCTTGTCCGGAGCATAACTTGAAAACTAATGGTTGGAATTCAATATAACTACATACAATGGTCAAGCACATTGAGAGGAAGTGCAGTGCACAAGAACCATAACTCTATCTTGACTAATTACAGAGTTATTGCCCTTTGTTACTTTTCCTTGTCCGGGGCATAACTTGAAAACTACTGGTTGGAATTCAAAACAACTTCATACAATTGTCAAACACAATAAGGGGAAGTGCAGTGCACAAGAACCATAACTCTATCTAAAGTAATTACAGAGTTATTGCCCTTTGTTGCTTTTCCATTGCTTTTTTTTTTGTCCGTTGCATTTTCCTTGTCCGGAGCATAACTTAAAGACTAATGGTTGGAATTCATTATAACTACATACAATGGTCAAGCACATTGAGAGGAAGTGCAGTGCCTAAGAAACATAACTCTATCTTGACTAATTACAGAGTTTTTGCCCTTTGTTACTTTTCCTTGTCCGTGGCATTACTTGAAAACTACTGGTTGGAATTCAAAACAACTTCATACAATTGTCAAACACAATAAGGGGAAGTGCAGTGCATAAGAACCATAACTCTATCTAAAGTAATTACAGAATTATTGCCCTTTGTTGCTTTTCAATTGCCTTCTTTTTTTTGTCCGGAGCATAACTTGAAGACTAATGGTTGGAATTCAATATAACTACATAAAATGGTCAAGCACATTGAGAGGAAGTGCAGTGCATAAGAACCATAACTCTCTAAAGTAATTACAGAGTTATTGCCCTTTATTACTTTTCCATTGCTTTCTTTTGTCCGGACCATAACTTGAAGACTAATTGTTGGAATTCATTATAACTTCATACAATGGTCCAGCACATTGAGAGGAAGTGCAGTGCACAAGAACCATAACTCCATTTTGACTTATTACAGAGTTACTGCCCTTTGTTTCTTTTCCTTGTCCAGAGCATGACTTGAAAACTACTGGTTGGAATTCAAAACAACTTCATACAATGGTCAAGCACAATAAGGGGAAGTGCAGTGCACAAGAACCATAACTCCATCTTGACTAATTACAGAGTTATTGCCCTTTGTTACTTTTCCATTGCTTTCTTTTGTCCAGACCATAACTTGAAGATGTATTGTTGGAATTCATTATAACTTCATACAATGGTCAAGCACATTGAGAGGAAGTGCAGTGCATAAGAACCATAACTCCATCTTGACTAATTACAGAGTTACTGCCCTTTGTTACTTTTCCTTGTCCAGAGCATGACTTGAAAACTACTGGTTGGAATTCAAAACAACTTCATACAATGGTCAAGCACAATAAGGGGAAGTGCAGTGCACAACAACCATAACTCCATCTTGACTAATTACAGAGTTATTGCCCTTTGTTACTTTTCCTTGTCCAGAGCATAACTTGAAAACTACTGTTTGGAATTCAGTACAACTTCATACAGTTGTCAAGGACATTCAAAGGAAGTGCAGTGCACAAGAGCCATAACTCCATTTTGACAAAATACAGAGTTACTGCCCTTTGATACTTTTCCTTGTCCGGAGCATAACTTAAAACGTACTGGTTGGAATTCAAAACAACTTCATACAATGGTCAAGCACAATAAGAGGAAGTGCAGTGCACAAGAACTATAATTCTATCTTCAGTATTTATAGAGTTATTGCCCTTTGTTCTTTTTCTTTGTCTTTCTGGACTTATATTACAGAGTAATTCAATTAAACTTCATCAATGGCCAACCACATTGAAAGGAAATGCAACATAAATAAACCACAATTATCTTTAATTGCCCACAACCATAACTCTATGTTTCAATTCTTTTACAAGGTATTCTGCTACTAGTAACATCCTCATTTCCGAAGCAGACTTGTGGGGGTATTAATCACATTTAGTGATAGTTCTAGTTAATACTTAAAGGGGCACACAAAGGTCTCCATCCACCAGAAATGCTTGAAAGTCACCATTTGACCTTTAAACCGTTAAAATGACTTTAAACCTAATTTGCATTTTGTCATTATTATGTGCCATTTAACAGTTTTGAGTTTTTTTTGAGGTTTTCGTTAAAATGTGTGTATATGATATAATTTTAGAAAGGTTTTGAAATGTGTTCAATTATTGCACTGACTTTTTCCATCTGTCTTTATGTCTGTCTTTAAGTGCTTTTTTAACCATCCTGTATAATGTCTTAGAAGAAGTTACTGCTCTGGACATTTCCATAAATAGAATATACATTTGGAAACATTACAGTTACCTCCCTTTGTACTCATTTACGGTTGACTGTGTAAGACCTCTATTAATAATGCTGGATTTTTAAATAACCTTTATTTATATACATTATACTCTCATGTACTTCCTATCTTATAAGACTTGATGCCCTAATTTACTACATACTTAAATTAAAAGACTTATGAATTCAAATGCATATTTCAGATATTCGAGGTGTAAACAGTATAGCTGTACAGTCAGTGAACACCGGTATGATCATTCTGGGAGGCGGAGTTATAAAGCATCATACATGCAATGCTAATCTTATGGTAATTATTAAATGCATAAATTATTATTGAGGCGGGGTTACAATGTATAAGACACATACAGTCATGCATTGCTAATTTAAAATCATGGTAATTATTTACATAATTTGATATTATCAATACCCATTACTTTTCCAATGACTGCATTGTTGAGAGGTTGCTAATGAATCAGATAAGAGAGTACATTTTATATGCATTTTATTCCTATTTCCTGAAATAAAAGCACTTGAAGTCTTTATAGTATTTTCAGTTCTTATCATGCAATAAAGTATTTTAATTATCTTCTTCTTTTGTAGAGGAATGGTGCAGATTTTGCTGTATATTTAAACACTGCATCAGAGTTTGATGGCAGTGACTCAGGTGCAAGCCCAGATGAGGCAATATCCTGGGGTAAAATAAAGAAGACCGCAAATCCTGTAAAGGTATTTGTCCATGCAAAAGTTTTTATTAATATTCAATATTTTTATAATTAACTATTTTAATAATCATTATGACTACTCAGTTAATTTCATATTTCATATTTTATTATAATTTGATGATTTAAGGGGCCTAATTGGCTAAGTTGTTGAGGTCAGTGACCTTAAATTACTTGACCTTCATTTCTGTTGGTTCAAATCACACCAGAGACTTAATGAGGAAGCTATCCAGTAAGATAACAATGTTAATGGTGCCTTTATCAATGCAGAGGAAGTCTGAAGTCTTGCTTCACCATTAAAGCTGAGCAGATGCCATATGACATTAACAGTGTCAGTGTGGCTTAAAACACACTCAGAAAAAAAGGAAAGATTATTGTCTTGTCAGATCTCTTAAACTTATTTTACTCATTATATTACATAATGCATTAAGGCTTTGTATGTTTGTCTTTTAAGTTATGTGTGTTAAGTAGGGTATTATTAAAATGTTTAACGATAGAATAAAGAGAGCAAGGTATCTGTTCTCTTGCCAAATGTATGTGATATTCAAATATTGCTGTGACATTTGAATTGGCTATTTTTTTATTCAATTGATTCAAAATTGATCTGCTAAGATGGTAGAGTCTGATAAAGACTGCATGGATTCTAATGGTGTGTCGGAAATTTGCTATCATGCCCATTTATGTTGCTTAAAAGATAGGCTTTTTTAATGAGCGTCCTATCATAAAGATATGTATGTTTAACATTTGGATATATTTGGATATTACAGATCTGTGCCGAGGCCACTCTTGTGTTTCCTCTACTGGTGGCTGAGTCCTTCGCTCGCAGACAACAGGAATTCCTCGATTTTTCCTCGAAAGAAAAGAAAGAGAATAATGTGGACAGCTTTGAAATTATTAAATGACACTAGAAATACATTTAATATATGTGCATAGGCGAAACCATATCTGTGATATCAGTAAGACAGTGATTAATAATGAGAAATTTTAATCAAACAATCTATCATTTTACCCCACTAAATAAAGTTGTCGGGTCGGTGTATGTATTAAAATAGGACGGATCATCAGAACATCAGTATTGAATGTCAAAGTTTGATTTACTTGAAAAATACAACTTGAACCCCTTAATGAAAGCCTCAAGTGCTTGAAAACGCCTCTTAATCTTTTCTTGAAGTTCCAAAAGGTAGAAATAGCTAAATCTTTTGGTTTAAACATATTTATTTCAGCTCGATTATGAAACAAGTTCTTGCAACTTATATTAATCACTTTCGAGTCTGCTTCCTAGAACCAACCAGTACTGGTGTCATATGAAGAAACATGGTCGTGACCCGAGTAGGGCTCGAACCCATGATCTCTGGATTGAGAGGCAGACACCTGAACCACCGCTTAATCTTTTAACTTGTATCAAGTTTAAAATATGTATTTTGGTTAGTGATAACTTTCCATCATAATGTCTTTTTTCTATTTAATAGCTACTTGCACTAGTAACCATTTGGAATGATCAAACTATATTGCAATAGATTTAATATATGATTTCTTGTTGTGTTGTTCAATACAAGTGAAATATAGTCTCCACCACAGACACTTCACCATCTCATACTAATATAAGCAAAAATTGAAAACTAATTCTTGTAATAGATAATACTTTTAGTTTTTAGCTCACCTGAGCATATGCTCAGGGTGAGCTATTAGGATCACTCTTCCTCCGGCGTACGTCGTCCGTTGTCCATTCACACTTTTAAAACGACATCTCCTCTGAAACCATAATGCAGATCATAATGAAACTTCACAGGGATGTTCCTTGTGTGAAGCCTTAACAAAGTTGTTCAAAGAATTCCATTCAATGCAGAACTCTGGTTGCCATGGCAACCAAAAGAAAAAACTTTAAATATCTTCTTCTAAAAAACCCAAAGAGCTAGAGCTTAGATATTTGGCATGACACATCTTCTAGTGAGTGTCTACCAAGTTTGTTCAAATAAAAGCCCTGGGGTTAAAATTGGCCCCGCCCCAGGGGGTCATTGATTTTTCCTATATGCATATAGTAAAAACTTAAAAAATCTTCTTTAAAAGAACCCAAAGTGTTAAACTAAGATATTAAGCATGAAACATGTTCTAATGGATGACTACCAAGTTTGTTCAAATAAGAGCCCTTGGGTCAAAATTCGCCCCGCCCCGGGGGTCATTGATTTTCCTTATATGTGTATAGCAAAAACTTAAAAAATCTTCTTTGAAAAAAACCAAATAGCTAGAGTTTAGATACTATGCATGAAGCATCTTCTAGTGAGTGTCTACCAAGTTTGTTCAAATAAAAGCCTTTGGGTCAAAATTGGCCCTGCCCCGGGGGTCATTCATTTTCCTTATATGTGTATAACAAAAACTTAAAAAATCTACTTTGGAAAAACTCAAATAGCTAGAGTTTAGATATTAAGCACGAAGCATCTTCTAGTGAGTGTCTATTAAGTTTGTTCAAATAAAAACCCTGGGGTCAAAATTGGCCCCGCCCAAGGGGACATTGATTTTCCTTATATGTGTATAGCAAAAACTTAAAAATCTCCTTTGAAAAAACCCAAATAGCCAGAGTTTAGATATTAAGCATGAAACATCTTCTAGTAAGTGTCTACAAAGATTGTTCAAATAAAAGCCCTGGGGTCAAAATTGGCTCCACCCCGGGGCTCATTGATTTTCCTTATATGTGTATAGCAAAAAATTAAAAATCTTCGAAAAATCCGAATAGCTAGTGTTCAGATATTAAGCATGAAACATTTTCTAGTAAGTGTCTACAAAGATTGTTCAAATAAAAGCCCTTGGGTCCAAACTGGCCCTGCCCCAGTTGTGTCATTGTTTTTAACTATATGTGTAAAGAAAAAACTTGACCAGCTAGACCTTAGATGTTTAGCGTGAAACATCTTCTAATGGGTGTCTACCAAGTTTGTTCAAATAAAAGCCTTGGGGGTTTAAACTGGCCCCGCTACGGGGGCCTATATACCGGTGAGCGACTATAGGGCCATCATGGCCCTCTTGTTTATATTCAGGGGCAAAGAAAGGGCGGAGTCTATACTCCAAGTGTCTGTGGTCTCTTCCACTCATTCGTTATAATTACCATGATTACTATAAACTTCAGAGGGTCTTCTTTGGACAAAATGAGCATCAGAAACCTAACCCAAATAACATGTCCGAGAGATCTCCGCATGGCATGGCCATTTTTGCAAACGGCGATTTGTTCTTTGTCTATATAAAGTGCATGAATTTTCGTAAAAACCCTATATCCTAACACCAACCGTTCAAACACCATTAGTCTGATTTCTTTGCAAATTCGTTTTTGTACAACTTTAGAGGATCTTCTATGTACAAAATGAGTACCAAAGCCCTAACCCAAATAATATATCCGGGAGATTTACGAAAATTCATGCACCACTTTATATAGACAAAGAACAAATCGCAGTTCGCAAAAATGGCCATGCCATGCGGAGATATCTCGGACATATTATTTGGGTTAGGGTTTTGATGCTCATTTTGTACAAAGAAGACCCTCTAACGTTGTACAAAATCGAATTTGCAATGAAATCAGACTAATGGTGTTTGAAGGTTGGCTTTAGGATATGGTGTTTTTTACGAAAATTTATGCACTTTATAGTAGACAAAGAACAAATCGCAGTTCGCAAAATTGGCCATACCATGCGGAAATCTCTCGTACATATTATTTGGGTTAGGGTTTTGATTCTCATTTTGTACAAAGAAGACCCTCTTACTTGGAAAACCAAGAAATATAAACATGTATATCAATTCGCTAAACAAACAGAATCTAAACAAATCAGACAAAGCACAAAAAACATTTTTGATATAAATTAACTCGTCGAAGGAATAAAAGTTGGGCAGAATTCAACCAGGAGCATGCAGTCAAAATTGATGGCATTATAGATAGAATATTTCAACAAGACACTTTCCACCAAAAAAAAATTCTTAATACTTGCGCAAGCCTTGGTGGTGCATAATTGTGCATAATATATTATGTGTCAACGTCAGGTGTTTGCTGGGATTAAGTGAATATATTTTAAAATGTAAACCAATCGGTATACATGCGATTTTTAAGTTTTGTAAACGTATATACATGTTTGTTTGACTTTGTCATTATTTTTAGTATATCAGTAAAATAAATAAGCCATCTTTTCTGTGTAGATGTGAATTTTGTCTACCTTAATTTTGTGTTCATTTATTGTAATGCCACTCATCGTCATTTTACTCTATTGTTTTGTATTATGTTACCGGCCAATGTCAGACGCGAATAACAAGCCTTTTTATATCGTATTGTTAAATAAAGTTTTACCCTCTTATTATTTAACAAACAAAATCCCAATAATTGGTCAATTATCACCTGCATAATGTCCAACTCTATATGCGGTTATTAAAAATTTCATTTAACTATTTAAATTAATTCTCAATTAATAAAATGCATTACTATAATTTATGTTTATAATGATATTAAAAGAAAAAAGACAATTTTTAAATATTTTTATTACATTAAATCACGGTCCACATCGTCTCGAGTCAAGGTCCGCCCTGTCCCAAAATATGGTCTACCCGTCCAATTAACATACGGTCCATCCTGGTACAGTCCGCTCTGTCTCACGGTCCGCCTTGTCCTACGACCATCAATACTAGAGTCTGACCTTTTATGAATAATAGCCGAAGATGTTCCAATTGTAAATCACATAAACTACTCTTCAATTTGGAGGAAGAAGCACTTTGTTCGAAAAAAAAAAAAATTGTTTCACTTAGATCTACTAATATTTTAAATATACGAATAAATGTCAGGTCTCGAACCTCTTGGAATCCCTGGTGGGGACCATCTCCGCGAAGCCCTCACAAACTGCTCGGATCCACTGGCTGCCATTGAAGAGTTCCAGCAGGAGAATGGCGTACTCCTACCGTCTCTAAAACCTGCTCTCCCATTTTTAGATCTTCATGGTGTCAAAAGATGTGAATTTCACCAATCAGTACTGGAGGAAGTTCGAGAAAAACTGATACAGAAAATAAATGAAGTGGTAAATGGAGATGATAAAGAACGTTTTCAAAAGATTGAGACCATGTTAGAGAAGAGTTTTTGTGTGATTGGAGTGGCATCACTAAGGCCTGTTATAATGAACATGTTGAAAACTTTACCTAAGATTAAAGATGTTTATCTGAAAGAGATTCTTGATGATAAAGAATTGTATAAAGAAGCTGCAACAGAAGTGAAGAGACAGATTTGGGAAGAAAATCAGGCATTATTTGGAGACGAGGTTTCACCATTGCTCTCTCAGTATATCAGGGAAAAGGAAAACACTTTGTTTAGTCATGAGAATTCTTTATCAACATTTTTCTTAATGTCTCCAAAAGCAAGACGCCAAGGTGAAGTCGTTCAGAAGCTTACACATATGGTTGGGAAAAGCGTTAGGCTTTATGATATGGTGTTACAGTTCCTCAGAACTCTGTTCTTACGGACAAGGAATATGCATTACTGTACACTAAGGGCAGAGCTTTTAATGTCTTTGCATGATCAAGAAGTGAATGACATTTGTGCAGTTGATCCATGTCATAAGTTTACGTGGTGTGTTGATGCTTGTATAAGAGAAAAATTTGTTGACTCCAAACGCGCAAGAGAGTTACAAGGTTTCTTGGATGGGATAAAAAGGGGACAGGAATTTGTTCTAGGGTAAAAGTTTAAGAGTATTATTATACAAATCTGTTCTTTCCTTGTATTTACTATAAAGGTATTTAGCAAATTAGCGCTTTAACTTTTAATTATATCTTTATATAATAATGTGATCTTATATCTTTATATGATCAAGATCATATTATTAAAATGTTTAATATTTTTCTAGATGGTATTTTACAAAAACAAATTATACTGCAATTATTCATTGTCAATATCTTATATTTATTATAGATTATTAATGGGAAGTGGCCCATATGGCTAGTCAAAAGTTCTAGTAGTACACAAGTCACCTACAGCTAGACAGGACTCAGGAGTGCCCAGGACACACTGTATTGTCTAGCCGTATGGCACTTTTCAAAATTATATGAAAGTGAAAATGCATATATATGTTATTTTGTGTCTTTAGTTTAAACAACAATTTTAACCAAGAATCTGCATATATGTCTGATGCCCTGGCATTTTGTCGAAGAAAAAAAAAGGAAGGAAATGCAAGCGTTGTCATCTTGATAAAAGTGTCAAAGTTGCATGACGCATTATGCAATGTACATTGTATATGGGTATGGAAAGTTATTTTTATGATAAAATAATAAATAGTCTTAAGTTATAATAGTGAAAAGCAAAAACAATATGAGCAACTTATAGCAATTGTGTATTTTTATTTTTGAATAGATAAATATCGAACGTAAAAGCACGATCAATAAGCCTAAATTAAAGCTTATACAGGTACTGACAGTAGAATTGTTACATGTAGAATGCGTTTCACGGAATATGCAAAATTTCCTTAATGATGAACA